AACGAGGTAATACGTTTTTTATGATAGATAATATAACTAATCATAGCTATAACCAATGTAAGAAAAAGACATGATCCTATAATAGCAAATGGAATCCATGATACGACTAAAGGCTTATTTGAATGTTTTTTAGAATCTGGATGAACACGTTTTGCTAATGGCGTTGAATATTCATTATCTAATTCTTCTTCTAGATCGGATAAAGATGGTATTGGTGTTGTTGGAATAATATTTATGTTTTTTGTTGGTAAATCATTATCATCGTACACATTTACTTCATTAAGATTTATTGTTGAACTTGTTGTTGTTTGTATTGCGTGTTCATCTATATTTTCATCTGGATAATATGGCAAGTCATTACCATCCATATCAACTGATGGTGGTACAAATGGTATATCTACTGGTGCTGAAGGTGTACTAAGTGGTGGAGTATTTTGTTGTTGTTTTTGTTGTTGTTCTTCAATATCTTCTTTTTGTTTACGTGTAAAATATTCTGATACGATTGAACATGAAGAAAATAAACATCGATCATTATTTGTTGATTGACATTTAACTAATTGTGAACCATCATCAACCATATTATTAAGAAATACTAATATACAATCACAATCAGAATTTTCTGTTGGTAAATAAACTGTTAAACCAAGCATACGTCGACGATTAATAAAATCAGCTAGAGCACAACTTGTATTTCCTTGTAAAGTTGAAAATTGTACATAACGTACATCTAATTGTTGTAATGATTTAAGTGAATTTAAACTTTCAACATCTAAAATTTTTAAATAGGAACCAAGTATTAATGTATGAATATGTTTAACATATTTTAATGCACCATCAGCTATACGTTCAGCATCGAGCGATAATGATTTTAATGTTAATATATTATCTAAACCTTGTAAAATCTTTGGTGTTATTGATACATCAGGTTGAATTATATTTAGACCTGTTAATTGTGGGTAATTTCTAAATGATAATGCATCTAATGTACGCATTTTATGCGCTTCAATTGTATACGATTGAACTGGAAATGGTGGAAATTCTTCATCATTAACGGTATCAATCATTCGAGTAATTTTTAATGATTGTATATGTCCAGTAAATTGTTTTACTAATGATGGGTCATGTGTTACAATTGCACCTTCAATATTTAAATTTGTTATATTTGTATTATTAAATACCGATTCAAATGGTGATGATAATGAATCAGCAAACATTGAAAATTCATTAACATGAATATTATCAAATGCATTTTGATCGAACACGATTGTTTCAGCTTTTAATGGTTGTAGTTCAACAGTTAAACGTTTATTTGGTGAGGTTATTCCTTGAAATAAATTAGCAAATGAATTTGTTTTAGCATGAAATGATTGAAAACTATGAAAACGAAATGTAATTGTTACAGATCTTCTTGTTGATTCGGGTAATAATTGGTTTAATTTATGAAAATAATTTTTTTCAAGTTCAATCTTTTCATCTGATTCGAATTTTAAATCAATCGAATGAAATTTTTTTGTTAATGCTACTGACGGTGAACTGAATATTAATGGAGCAAATTTTGACATTGTACAACGTACTTCATTGGAATCATAACATGTACATGTCATATCAACAAATATATCACATGAATATGTTAATGATAATGATAGAAGAAAGATATACAAATAAAATAGTGCCATTGATGATGATCTAAAATACAAATATAGTAAAATTAACTTGTCTTCTTCTGGATTTTTTTGTGTTATTTGTTGACCTTCACGAATGACATCGATTCCCTTCATTTTCTATTTGAGAGTTCTTATGTCATCATAAGCAGCATGTATTTTAGGAGAAAAAAAACTCCAAGTACTTCTAGAGATAATTGGCATGAACAAAAAAAATATATATGATGAGTTAGATTGATCTCGTGATTTCTTTCGATGTGTAATAGGAAAAAGATGCTGTCAGACGAACGATCGATATAATCGCCAATGTTACAATCAGTTCTCTACATGCAGATGTTGTGTCATCATAAAATGTGTAGATGGTAACATAAATGCGATTTATTTATTTTCTTTTTTTTTCTCTTCTTTCGTTCTTTTTTCTATTCGTTTATTTTAGTGTGTCAGATTTATCCTATTGTTTTATATTTCTACACCTCCGTTTTTAAAAAAAAAAACACAGATAAAGCAGGGTTTAGACTAAATTTTTGTGTGTAATCAAATGAATGCCATGTGAGTTCCTTTTTTCTTTTATCATAGAGGATAGGTCAAGGTCAAGGTGAGTGTAACTCACTTTAAGACCCAACATGGTCACGTATTGATGTTGTTTTATATTACCGATTGCACTATATACATATATAAAAATTGTTCAAAAACGTGTGAACAAGATGTAAATGATACGACGCGTCTACCTTACATTTTTTATTATTACGAATATACCTCCAACGTTATTCTTCTTCCTAGATGGTCATAATTATATACTACATATATCTTTATAACAGGGTGTAATATATGTGTAATGATGATGAATGTCTCATTAAAATAATAGGATTAGTAACAACTTTCGATAGATTTTTTTTAAGAATTGAATAGATTTAAAGCGGAAACGGCGTAAAATATATATAATAATGTTCAATCCCTTAAGTGTGTTATTTTATGTTTTTTTTTCTTCTCACGGTTTTCACTTACTATACCGGACGACAACAGTGATGAAGACTGATGATGATGTAATAGTCAATTCGAGGCAGCTGTTCTCTTACATCGATTTAACTTCCTTTCTTGTTTGTGTGTGTGAATTTAAAAAAAAAGAAAAGAATTGTTGTATGTATGCGTGAAGACATATATATATACATATATAAATATATATATATATATATATATTTATATAGACAAATCAAGTAAAATAGTACAAAATGAAGGCGACAAGGAAGGAAATAGGATTGAGTAGGAAAAGGTTTTCGGCGAGTAAGAACGGAAATGATCAATTATTTTTAGAGCGTGACATTTTTCTCTTCTTTATTTATCTCATCTATAAACGATACTGACAAAAGAGTGTGATCAAAATACGATGATCTTATGAGACAAGAATTTCTCCAGTTTCCAGATGTGTATGTCAAGGAATATCCAGCTATTTCATGTCAATCACACTATGTTCGACCTTCACCATTCAGATGTGTCTTACCTGACTATTGGCTGATGATTACTTGTTTGTGTCTGTTTCACTCAGCATGAAAGTGATCAAAACGCATTATCGTAACACTAACTAACCTTAGATAATTCTGTACATCACACTGTAAATACACAACACGCTTTCGTATATCTCCTTCTCCTCCTACATTTGTGGATGTTCTCGCTAACTATTCTTCTACATTGTCGATGATTCTTCTAGGAAGAATAACAGCAAAAAGAACAGACAACAGGCTCCTGTATATTTGGTTCGTCTCTGAGCATTGGCAGTATTTAGGTTGTAGGAAGAAAAAAGAAACGCAAAGAGGGAGAGAGAAAGAAAAAGAAGCGAAGGACAAAGATGATGATGATGATGACGACGATGTCGACGAACGAGAACTTCATCGTCCTATGTGTCAATGCAATATACGTCTGAACCATTGCGAAGTCTCTATGCCATGCGCCACCTTATATAGAAGTTGACCTTCGTTTTTTTTTCCGTTTGTAGAAACGAAGACAAGAAAAAAAAATTCACTATAAGTGTATGAAGACGATGAAATGGAGACGCCGCGACGGCTGTTGCTAGAAAAAAGGACGGAAAAGAAAGTGAATGAATGGTGAGTGTTACGCTCAAGGCTTAATGTTCAAACTAATATATTTTAAGATACTCGTATCCAAGGCTCTATCCGCTTCTTTTTCTAACACTATCATCATAATTAATCATTGCACCTGCATCATTTTTCAATCTTAATAGATTACGATAGAAGACAAAGTAATACATTTTTCTTGTCTCCCTCTCTCTCTCTATTGTCCAATAGTTTTTTAGTAATCAATCATAAAAGTAACATAAGAATAAAAGAAGGAAGACATGCATATATTTACATACATACAATTTGTTGTTTTTACTTCTTAACTACTCAAGGTCATGTTCATTCAAAGTAAACCATTTTTAGACTCGATGAATGAACTCATCGACAAATCGACAATGTAAACGAAGGATATGTTTTGACAATTGAAAAATATTGAAGAGTATAAGTAGCATTGTCTAGGTATACTTGATGAATAATAGCTCAATAAATAAATGTAAAGAAAAAAATATCTCAAACAAATATTTAAAGCTGGTATAAATAGACGATTTTGATGGGCTTATCTTTTTTATACATCAAAACGTATGGGGAAGAAAAATATACAATCATACACGAAACGGTATGTATATGTCTATTCAAACTAGGCAAAAAAAGCCTCAATGTACACATACCAAAGTATTGACAAATATTACAATTGATGGTTAATACAAAAAAGAAGAAAAAAAAAAACCACATTTTGTATTCAACATAATACTCAAGTATTCATTTTTCTTATTTATAATATATGAAAAAAAACAACTTGTTTTTTTTACATACAATAATAAGGAAAAATTTCCTATATCGCGTGTAGCTTATCAAATCACTGGAGAAAGCTTAGTAGCATATGAATAATAAATATATTACCTTCTAACGTCATAACGATATTACGAGCCATAAACAAAATAACACAACATACGATTCTCGCTCCTATTACTATTGCTACTAACATTCCTTCATATAATAATACTCAAATATATGTAAAAGCATGCTGAGTCTCGCTCAATGCTCACATACCATTTCCATTATTGAATGGCCATCTTATAAGTATGATGTAAACAAGGCGAAAAGAGAAAGAATTATATACATTTTATTACTACTGACAGTTTACCCATGGTAATAATACTTAATGTACATGTATGTCAACAAGACCTATTGAACAGTGAAAGATATGTCAATAATCACGATTCACTTATCAAATTTTACATGTATCATTTTTTTTCTTCTTCTTTCTTTCTCTCTTTCTTCCTTATTATAAAATATCAGTCTATCTAGTAACATGATCTATTTAGTTGACTTTTTTTTTATATATTTTATACTCTAGTGTATATATATAGGCATTTACTGGTAGAAATGAGTAAAGAAAATAGATAGTATACATTGATAGATAGTCAATGATGAACAAACGAGAACATGTCTCTGAGATTAGACTATCGTAAAGTAGTTTGTTATTTGCCTAATGATTGAGAGACGATGACTACTGTCATCAAAATACAATCAGATCCAATCTATCGATTTATCTATTGAATATATAAGATAGTTATTGTAACATATTGAACATCAGAAGATATCTAAATGATCTCGAAGAATAAGCGAAAAAGAAAAAGAATTAATTATTTATAACCTTACATAATTTGTCCACGTTCGTAACGAGATATATGAACATATAATACAATGTTGTACGTCAAATATCCTACTGACATTGACACACATTTAAGAATGAGAAAGATTGACATCGGTAAAAGAATTGATGTAAACAAATGTTCATGTCTTTCTGTTTTTCCTACCGAACATTTTGACCTTCTTTTATCTAGTTGGATGATTGCAATATAAACAAAATACATACCGTTTGTTCATTCATCTATTTATCTAACTAAGAGAATTTTCTTACCATTCATGGTTCATTTAATCAGTCAGATATATATAGTTCAATCCATCAAAAATTTACAATGATATTATCAGTAGATGATCATTCTATTCTTCTACTAATTTTTTCTAAATTATGATGAGTCTATCATTCTTTGTATATCGTTATCATACTCTATATGTATTAGATCATTCATATAAGATAGTAAAGGATTGATGACAGCATTATTTGTATCATAAATTTATTTTGTTTTTTATGAAAAGATTCATTAAGTAATTTCTTTTATTATATGTTCATATATATGATACAAGATATCGAAATGATATACACTTATTTGAATTCAGTAGAGATATATTTAGTTGTGATATATGATGATAAAGAATAAGGTAACAATTATTCATATGAATACAGACAGCATATGATCAGAGATATTTGATATGATTAAAACGATTGATGAATTAGTTGAATGAGATATAGATATATGATGATTTCTCTAACACTACGTGTTATCGATTTAGATTTATTTTTTACTTAACGAGCATTAAGGGAAAAATATATCTTAACTGATTTATATGCATAACTTGTTTTTATGAATATCTATTTTGTCTTGTATAAAATTTATTTGATTTATCGTTGATCGAATAGTTATAATATGCTATTATGTAGCAAAATCATCGTATTATTTAGAGAATTAATTCATTTCATTATTATACAATGCATGACTATGAATTAGTATTTGACAGCTGAACAGTGAAGGGAAAAGTCCTGAACTGACACCTTTTATCTTTCATTCATTTCTTGATTGAAATGACCTAAGATATAAGAAGAAAAAAGAAATTTGTTTGATAGAGTTGTGACATACTCTATTTATTATTCTGAATAGCATTAAATAACAAGTGAATTGTCAATAAAAGTTTCATTTTTTAAGTAATTTATACATTTACAAGGAAAGATTTTTTTATTGAGTCATTCATATCAATCAGAAGAGTATGAACCTATTGAACAATTGAATTTTTATTATTATCAACACTATTTTATTCACAATGATGAAAGTAACACTTAAATTTATTTTTAGTTTCAATCTTCAATTCAATATTTACTATTCTAAAGAATATAATTTCCTGAATTGATAACAAATAACATACTTGATATTCAACAAAATATATATTTTTCTTCTATTATTAAAATATTACAATAATAGAGATTTTAGATAAAATATATTCAAGTCAATATAAAACAGTAGACTATCATATTGCAAAATATTATCTTATATTTCAAGATTAGTGATAAAACCCTAGATAATTGGAAAATTGCTTTGTCTATTCAAATTCCCATCGACTTTGCATCACTATTATTATCCACAAATATCTATTTTTTCTCGATTAGTATATAAACGATGTATTGATAATTGTCTAAATACAATAATAAAGCTAAATATCTATATATGAATTGTGAAGTTGAAATATAATTTTTCTTCATAAAAAATCTTGAGGGTAATGCAAATAAACAAAGCACGTCCATTTTAATGATTTCATATTTATAACACCTATGCTTATTAAATTATAGTTTATTTTATTAGATACGATGATATATAACAGAATAATTCAACATCAAGGAGATTAAATAGACGCTGCAGTAGTATTAAGAGAAGCCAAACTTTCTATGATGACAACAAGAAGAAGTTTTATTCTCTAGATTATCCTACGCATCTGATGATCTATTATCGTAAACATTAGATATCTATGAATCAGGCTTGTACGTTCTACCAATATCATGGCATTGATTACTGCAGTTTATTAAGCTTCTTCACACGGCAATCATTAAGAGAAAATGACATTGGATTTTCTTTTTCTCCTATTAAATACGAGATCAACAAAATGTACTTATATTTTTTCTATACGATTTCTCACATCTGCATAAATATCTGATGAGTTTTTAGTTAAGCATATATATATATAAATAGATATGTGCCATTTGATATATTTTATTTCCATAAATAAATGCTTCAAGTAAAGACTCATCAAAAATTAATATATTCGTAAGTTTCTCAAGAAGATTACGTATCAAAAATCAGATTAAGCCGAAAAAAAAACCACTTGTTTTTATTTTATATTTATCTATCTTTTCCTTTCTCTTGGTTTCTTTTCTATATGGTGTATTATAACACTCGATATAAATACATACAATATTGTCTCGTTTATCAGTTTGCTGTTACCGACGTTATATCGCCTTGTTATCAGCACGACACATATATACAAGTGTAGTGCACAGGTAAATAAATACCACTATTATTATCGTTAAGTATTACAATCTTCATCGTCATTTTTTCGTACTTAAATAACGACAAAGACAACTACTTTTTGATGACACGTCTTATAACAACGAAGGTCAAAACCTTGTTACAATCCTACAGACTTTTCTTAATGTAATAATAATTTACTCTTCAAGATCATCGGATACACTATATACGATCATTATCAATCCAGAGCACAAAAAAAAAAAAAAAAAGAAAGCGTAATATGATCAACTGACTTAGTTCGATTAGGTAAAGGGATGGCACTACTATAGATAGTGTACATACACATCCTCACGTAATCAATATAATTTTTATTATATAGATATGGTTACAAAAGAACAACATGAACTCGACTGGTCTATTGATTTAATAGATTCAGTTTGGTTTCATATTGGTAGTTATATGTCAATTCATGATATTCATCGTTTAACACGTACATGTTATCGTTTACATACACTTTTTACTAGTAATGATTTTTGGTCGTATCTTATTCGTAAAAAATTTGGAAATCAAATTTGGCATCGTCTAATAAAAAATTCTTCATTATTCATTGATGATGAAAATAAAATTTTCAATTGTATTACTAAACCATGTCATTCGAAATTAATCTATATTGAATTAATGACTCGTAAATGTATATCATTCTCCGAATTTAATCTTTTTTCATTTGATACAAATCGAAATTATACAACTATTGCTGATCCATCGAGTTTAAATGGTTATGTACTTTATATAAAAGATTCACTTGAACTTTGTTATTCACTACATATTGAAACAATTTTTAAAAATATTCTACCGGGAAAATATGATGTTATCTGGCGTATGAAACTTGATATACCTTATATTGTAGGTGACACCGAATTTTATGCTGCTGCTGAACAAATTAGTCCTGGTCAAGTTGCCTATATGCGATGGACACAAGAAGATTTCTTATCGATGTATCGATGTTTTTATTGTGATATAACAAAAACAAACTTATGGTTTTATCAAACAATAGGTTTCGTAGAAATAAATGGAAATAAACCATGTGATGTTTATATATCAATGACAAATTATAATTCACTTCATGCCAAACATGGAATTTATTTAGATTATGTAGAATTAAAACTTCGTTTAGAATAAAAAAATTTTTTTTACTTTCTCTTTTATGTGTATTTCCATTGTTTATCTAAAGAAAAACAAATTGATTCATAACATGTTTGTCAAAAAAACATTCTTTTTTCTTCTTTTATGACCTTGCGCTTACTTATTTATTTATTGTCATTGGTTGCAAACGAAGAAGACAAAATAATTATTAGTTATAAAGATAGGTAAAATAATTATTTGTTAAAAATGTTCATATTTAACTTTCGTTATTAATCATAACATAAAATGAATTAATTTTTATTAGGAACAGAATACGAATTTTTTATTTATGTAGTGAAATTATGGACAATCTACTATGGAGTATTATACTAACTTTTATAATTATTTTAATCGCTTATACATTATGTTTATGGACAATATTTTTAAATTTTTCGAGAAATAATTATGGAATATCTCATACACATTTATCTGTCATAATTCGTCTAATAATATTTGTTATTACAATGATTACATTTATTCTATTGTATAAACTATGGATATAATTTTATTGTTAGTGATGAATTTCGAGATAATCATTTGTATTAAAAATAGTATGTGATATGTTATTAATATTTTTTATTGTTTGTAAAATATTTTGTTTTTTGAAGACATACAATATGAATTTAAGATCTTTTATTCTCATAGGATGAAACTTTTTATTTGAACAAAGTAACTGTTGATATTTTCAGTTAGGAAAAAACAATAACAACAACTAGTTTTTGTTTTAAATCTTGTTTTCAAACATATTAAATAATAAAGAACGAAAGAAAGAAAGAAAGCAATGTAGGACATAAATGTTTTCCACTTGATAATTTTTATTTACAATACATAGATGAAAAAAAAAACGAAATATTTAGTTCTATCAAAACATTTGTTGTTGTTGATATTGTTGTAAATAAGCAAAAAAATTTGCTGGTGGCATCATCATTTGATGTGGCGGTGGTGGTAATACCGGTGGCATTGTACCTAATGCTGGTGGTGGTTGACTAAAACCACTGGATACCATAGCAGTTGGTGGTACCGATGGTATGGCACTTGCAGCAGCGGCTGCGGCAGCCGCGGCCGCTGCAGCTGCTGGAGGTGGCATACTAAATCCAGATGTTGGCATTGGTGGTGGTGGTTGACTAAAACCTGTTGAAACCATGGATGGTGGTGGTTGACTAAAACCTGATGAAACCATTGATGCAGCAACAGCACCACCACCTGTTGATATTGGTGTTGAACTTATTGACATTGAACTTGTTACTGATGGTGGTGGTGCTAAGGATGCCGATGTTGATCGAACACTTGCTGATGCTGTACGCATTGGTGATGGTGTAATAGCATTATCATTATAATGCACTTTAAACCAATTAAGTGTTTCTGTTAATGTTGGAAACATTTTTGAACGAAATCGAACACCATTTGGTGTAACAGTAAAATATTCATGTATTGGTCGACGTATAGGCATATATGATAAAAGAAATTTCGTTGGAAATTCACGTGATATTGTTATATAATAACGTATTCGTGTTGGATTACGTCGTTTATCATCGAGTAAATGAGTATTAAGAATTCGTTGAGCATCAGCTGATGTTGGTGGTAATCCAGATGTTGATGTTGTTATTGTTGTTGTTGCCGCGGCTTTTTGTGCCGGTGTTGCTGAACCAGATGGTGTAGCTGATGGTAATGGTTGAGATAAATTAAGATAATATTTATGTGTAACTATATCGGAAACAATATTAGCCATTGGTTTAATATATCGTGCAAGAATTTCATCAAGATCTTCAAATTCTTCTGTTTCTTGTGTACGTGGATCGATAATTAATAAACGTTTACCAAGTGAAAATTGATTTGATTTAGATTTTTCAATAACATCAATATTATGTAAAACTCCATCAACTAATTTCCATGTTATTGTTAAATGATCGGATGCTTTTGAACTTGGTCGTACAATCGCATCACCTAAATCTTTCGTTGAAAGTAATCGTTCACATTCAATATAATTTATATTCATAAATGATGGATGAGCAATGACACGTTTAACAAAACTACGTTCTTTAGCTGCTTGTTTTGATTGTTTTTCTTTTTCAGTTTCAGCTAAATCGTCTGTTTCAAGTGCACGATCATAAAAAGAATCTTTCGCTGGTCGCCATCGTTCTTTATCATCACGTAAATCACTTGATTTCGATGTTAAATCAACACTAAATCGTTCAATATTAATATTTATAATACGTGCATAGATAAGTTGATGTAATTTAACACGATCTAATGGATTTGTTACTGGAGAATCAGATAAATCACGAAGTTTTATAAAGCCTGTACAACCATTATCCAAACGAACACGTACACCAGCTACAAAAAAATAATCATTTAATTTTTTTCAAAATTGATTGCATTTCGAACTTACTTGGTGCTCCTTTACATTTATTTGCTGAATCAAAATGATTCCAAGCCTAAGCAAAAATTTTTAAAAGAAAAACAAATATTTTAAATCTAAGATATTTTTGTTTTCATACTTCTTTAACACTATGAAATCGTTCTGTATGACATAATGGACATTTTAACATTCCAGTTGCTTCATGTTTAACTGGTTGTGCTGTTTCAAGTTGTTCAGCTGTTGGTGGTCGTCTTGCAAAATCAAATACTTGACATTGAATTAATTTACCCAAATGAAATGTTGCTGGTGTTTCTTTCGTTATAAAATGAAATAAATCTTCTGGACTTGGTGGTTCATAACGTACACGTACATCTCGATAACGATGTGTTAATTCAGCACGTATATCATATAATGTTATTGATTGATCGCCATACATTGTATTTTTTAATTCAACAGCAAATGCATCTAAATCTAAATCTTTTAATCGTTCAGAATTTTGAAAAATTTCTTCTAATGCAGCACTTGGTTCCATTTCCGACGATTCTTCAATATCTAATGCATCAACAGCCATTTTACGTGCCCAATCATAAGCTTCAGGATGTATACGTGTACTATCTAAGATTTCAATATAGGAATTACTTTCTTTCATAGCATCGGTATTAATTTTAATAAAACCAGCACAATTTGAGAAGACACATTTACCCATTGGATAATTAACAACAAGAAATGTACGATTTTCTAATTGTGAATTATTTTGTTTAAAATGTTTTATTAAATGTGTTGCTTTACGTGGACCAAGACCACAGACAAATTGTAAAACATTCGATGTATGAGAATAAGCTATGCAACGATTTAAATCAACACCAGCTTCATTTGTACGTGCAATAAAACTTTGTTCAAGATTACATAATAATTGTTCACGATCAATTAAATCTTGTAATGCATGATATTTAATTAAAAGTATTTCTTTATCATAATTAAATAATTGTGAAAATTCTAATAATGGATCTTGTAAACGACGTCCTTGAGAAACAGCTTGACGTAATTTAACCGGATAATCACGAAAATCAGATTCACCTTTACGAGATTGAGAATAGATTTTTGCTAATTCCGTATCAGATAGAAGAACTTTCATAGGTTCAGCTAAATTTTGAAATTGTTCTTCATCATGTTGTAATTGACTAACCATATCTTCAAGACGATTACGTAAATATAAAGCATCACGACTTTCCACACCTATACAAATAACATCTGGTACACGTTGTATAATAAATGTTCGAATAGCTTCGAAATCTTTATCTTTTTTTATTTTATTATCAGCTGAATAATTCTCTCTTAACATTAAATTTGGTAAACGAATAAAATCCATGACTTGTCCTTCAGAACTTAATATAACAGCATATGATACATCATCGGGATCAGTTGAATAGGCAACAGATAAAACTCGAACGCCAGCATCGGATATACTTGTAACATTTTCATCATTTGATAAACGATATGGTGCAATTTTAATCCAATCATTCAAACAATTTGAACTTTGTTTAATAACATATTGTTTTGCTTCATCCAATAAAATCTCTTCTAATTCACGTTGAAATTTTGGATAAAGAAATTTACTAAGCATTAAATCAATACATGTCGCACGAATTTTATTCCATTCAAGTACATTATCAGAATATTCATCACGTGTATAGGAACGTTTTATTTCATCTGCATATGTATGAGGATTATTTTTATTATCAATAACATATTCGATTGTAATCAAACCATCTTTAACAGCTTGATGTAAATAAAGATATTGATCTTTTGTAAATGTATTAACGGGTTTTTCAAGAAGATATTTTCTTGAATAACATGGATGATCTTCTGTTATTGATTGAATACCAAGACGTGTTGGACGAACATTTACCATACAACGTGAAATATAATCACGACGAATAACATAACGTACTAATGGATCAAGAGATAATTGACGAGCATGCATAAATACCGCAGCCTAGAAGAGAAATTTTTGAAAATGAATGTTTATAAGAAAAATGAATCATTACTTGTAAAACAGTTTGTGGATTTGGAAATTGTTTACATATAAATTCTTCGCAAGTGGCTATTGGTCCAATTGGATATTGATCGATTTCATTTTTTTGATAATTTTCATAAAGATTTTCACCTAATTTATCAGGCTTTAAACCAAATTTTTTAACTAAACCTTCTAAATGTGCTTGTCTACAAACACTATAATAATCCGTTTTTATCATTGGTTTAGCTTTAATATTTAATTGTGAACGTATTTGTTCAACTAAAGATTCTTCATCAAGTTCATCTTCATCTTCTATTGTTGGTAATGGTTGTTCATCATCATTTTGTTCCATATTTGATATTAATTTCTTACGTTTCTCACGTTCTTCACGATATTCAATTAATTTTTCACGTACACGCAATTGTGGTAAATCTTCATTATAATAAACATGAAATTGTTCACGTAAATCAGCTATTTCTTCAAGTGTTTGAGCACGCATTAAACGTTCTTTATCAATATCACAATCAGTTAATAATTTCGTTGTTAAAGCTTCTTCATTGGTATCACCTAATTGTTCATATTGATAATTACGATAATTATTCATACGTTCAAACATTGACATTAATTTATCTTTTTGAGATTTAAATATCATCCACTAAGAAAATCAAAGAAAAAACATTTATTAATAAACTATTCTCTCCTAATCATGAAAAAAATTCGTCTATAATTCGATCGATATTGAAAATACCTTTTCATCCCATTGCCAAATTTTCCAAAGATCTGCTATTTTAAGATCAGGTTCAATATGTTCTTTACGGTAGAATGCAATAAATGGTACCTTAAATGAAATATATAGTTTCTTTAATAAATATTAATTTCAAATAAAACGTTCATACTTCAAATGAATCATTTCTCATATAATTAAGTGCATTTTTGATTTTCTTTTTTACTTGAAGATTTTTTATTGTTTCTTCTTCGTTTGGCTAAAAAATTTAGAAGATTTGTTAAAAGTTTTTATTAATTCTTGGCATATACTTGATGGGAAATTGTTGCTTTAAGAAATGCTCCATTATAAATCCAATCAGCTTCTTCATCAAGTTCATCTTCTTTAGCTTCAGTAACCGGTATACGTCTTAACTAATAATATAGAAAAAAACAAATTTTTTTTTATACATAATTTTTTCTCTTTAGAATAAAATCAAACTTGAAATCTTTCTGGTTTATCAATTCTTCGAATATTTATATCCGATTCAGTTAAATAACCACGTTGTAATTCTTCGGGTTCGAATAATTCTTCAGCTTTTTGTTTTCGACGTGGAGCTTTAGCTTTTCGTTTTGGTATTGTTGCTTCCTAAAAAATGATATGCATAAGAAAATTTTTGTTTTCTTTTATTGTTTATTATTGCTTACACTTTCAATTATATTTCCATCGTCATCATATTCAGGTTCTATTTGTTCTTCGTCTTCTTCTTCTTCTTCATCATCTTCCTCATCTTCTTCACCTGCATCATCATTTAAATCATCAAAATTAATATCATTGAACGAAAATTCATCGCCAAATATAGCTTGAGCATCAGCGATATTCCTATACAAAATCTTAACATTATAAAACAACAAAATCCGAAAATTTCTTTTTCTTACGGTGCATTGTGATGTCGACGATGATTTTGTTTTGGTATTGGTACATCGTGATCATCAACAATAAAATCATCTACAAACAAAAAGTATTTGCATTCAATAATAAAGCGACTTGTTATTTACCTTCATCATCATCATCATAATCATTCGCTGCTCTTTCGTCTTCGCCATTGTCCATAAGGCTTTGTTCCTAAAAGTTATGATATATCATCTTTTATTAATTAGACAAAAAAATTATGCTCTTCGAATCGAATCAAAAATTCGTTTTTTCTTACATCAGGTTCAACTCGTCTTGAATGATGTGTTGTTGCTACTTTATACTGTGATGACGTATTTTGATCATCATCATCACTATCTTCGCGAGCAATGTGGACACGGTTTGGCTATTAAAGAAAAATACAAATAATTATAAAGAGAAAAGAATTTTGCAAGAACTTTACCTTTCCAGACTTCTTTGTATTTTCGGCGATTAATCTATAAAAGTAAGAATATAAAATAAAGCAAAAACACATTATTTATTTACTGTAAATCATCATCATCAAAATCATCTTCATCATCTGATTCACCAGAAGCTGATTGATCAGCGACATTCTCTTCTTCTTCCTAGAAAAATAAATCCAAAATCATTAGAAATTATTTTAATATATATAAAGCTTATATTACTTCATCTCCTGGTTCAGCAATAAAATTTTGTAAATCTTTAGCAGTTGCTTCATCTATAACATCATCTTCTTCATCATCGTCATCATCACTCACTAGTGATAAAAACAAAATAATAATAGATAAATTTCAATAGAGAATATTTACTTGGTCGATTTGATTTAAGTTTTTTCATAGCAGCTGTTCGTTGGGTTTTTTCTGTATCACTTTCTTCAGCTGAATCTTCTTCTGCTTCCGCATCAACAAATGCATTTCTTGGCCGTTTTTTTGACATTTTTTTTCGTATTCAAAATTGAAATAATGATGAAAAAATCTGAAATAAGAATACAAAATATTTCTTGAATAAAAATCTAAACGAAAATGCATCTTACTACAACTAGAAATATATCATTTATGTCAAATAAAATGAAAAGTGAAAGATTATATAGGGGGTGTGAGTACGTTGAATGTCGTAGACATTATAGAGATATAATTTCCTACGCTGGTTATTATTTATTTTTAGACAAAATGTAATGAATAATTCTTTTGTAATTGGTTTATTATTTAATAAAGCAACTTCAATAGAGGTCGCATACCGACGGTATCATTTGTGAAATTTCAGAGAGCAGAATACGAATGAAGTAAAAGAAGTACAAAACATTTATAATATTGTTTTTCATAAGATAGTGGCGTAAGCAGGATTTGATGGATGGTTGGGCGGCGCCCTAAGGATTTTTCCAAAGGGTGGGGTGGGTATTATTTTCTTCAGAGACCACATCTACACCCGCGCCCACTCACACCCACCCTCAGTAGTCGTATATAAATAAAAAATTCAATTTTTAAAAAAAATAAGCGGTGATTGGGCCGCGCCCAGCCATGCCGGTCCTTGGTTAACCCTTTAAGTACCATAGCTCAGCCAATGGATGAAACTTTGTTAGGACTTTATTTGTAACATGTATATTGTATGTTGTGAATATTTTCATCGAAACTTTTTAAAAAACTTTCAGAGTCATTTTCGATCAAAACCCGTGCCCCCCTACAGCACGCTGATACTTAAAGGATTATTAAAATGATAAATACCGTACGAATACAAGCACCTACATGTCCTCTATGTCACAATGACAAGTACACTTCGATATTGTTTCGCATTCGTAATTTATTCAGAATTTGTCAAATTCTAAAAGAGTGGGGCTTATAGGCCCCGTTGGTACTTAAAGGGTTAAGCCACTATCGCAAGGGTCTTTCTTCAATAATAAGTAATGAGTTATGCTGGGAACTAAATGATCAGTGAACATCGTTTGAATGAAATATGTTAATAGGAATTCACAAATATTTTTGTACTCCGATGAAATCTAAATCGGTTTCGTTTAGAATATGTCGTTTCAGTATTTTTTTACATTTAAAATATTGATACAAAATTTATTTAATCATTCACAATTGATAATTAATAACATTCCTCATTTTTCTTCTAATGATGAATTAAAAACTTGAAAAGTAGCATTTACACTTCTATTAAGAATTCTATGATGATAAAAGAGTAAAAAAAATCATTATGTCGGTATTTGTTTTTAATTTAGTCCAACCTCTTTTAATAAAATGTTTCTAACTGAGCGATTTGGCCGGAACAAAATGTATAATAATAAATATATAAGAAAGAGAGAAAGAAAAAAAAGAAAACCAACAAAATCGTTCAGCACAAACACTCAAGCGATAACAAACAGAGCGATATACATGTATGATAATCTTGCTTATTGCTAAGAAAAGAATTAAAGTTCTATATATATTTTTTTCTAAGCGTTCGGAATGTTTTTATAAAAAGACAAAAAAAACTGATCATCAATAGTTATTTTGTTCAAAAAATGAGATCGATTATATATACATATATATGTAGGATGAAATGATCACTGTAAACCATACACACACTCATACATATTTGATTTGTAAAAGGAAAAAAAAAAGTATTGCTTTATGAAAAAGAAAGAAAAAAGAAGAAGAAGAAGAAAAAGTGTAAATTACAAAGAAGAGAAAACTTTATCGGCGTGTTGTTGGTGTTGGTACAGTGTTATTTGGTGTTAAAAAAGGAAAATTTCGAGTTGTTTGACGTGTTTTTTGACCACTTGGAGGGATATTTGAATTTGAATTTGTCACGATATTGGAAAGCCCGTCCCTACGCTCATTTTGCGTGTTCGTGGATTTTGTTGCCTCATCTGTTTGGTGTGCTAAAATACAAACATATCGTTAATTATCAAATAACCAAATCATAAATTTTATTTATTAATAAATCTTGTCCCAGATGGCTAGAGCAGTAGGTTAGTCAAAATTAAATGTCAGCATTTTCACTTATGTATTTCCTTTTTTCAAAAAAAATATCAGTTCTTTTCCTCATTTCCCACCTTTAAATCCATAATAGTATAACGACGAACTGAAATATTTGATTTTAGCAATCCAAAAAAAAAGAAAATTCTTTTATATTTTATTATTTACCCAATGTTTTTGTAGCTAATGGTGTAAATGATTTAGCAAGAAATTCTTCATATGTTGTTTCTTTTTTATGTGTACGAATTATTGAATTGATTATACGATAACGTTCTTCGTAACTAAAAATATAAGAATATATTTTTTTAAAATATAGATACATTAGAGAAAAATAAATCATTCTTACAATTCACAATGATTATTTAATGTTGTACGACGTGCACGACTAGCGTTTACTGCTGTTGCACGTACTAATTCTGGAAGAATAAGTTTATCAACAATTGCACCATCAAATAACGGACCAAAATTTGTTGTCTTAAAAAATAATGACATAAATTTAGTAAACAATATTATTGTAAACTTTATGTATGATGTAAAGAATCAAAAATGACTTATAGGAATCCTGTTCGTAGTGACTGTGTAACTAAATCTAGCCTGGGTTCAACTTTGTATCAATGTAGACATATACAGCTCAGAGTTGGAACCGGGGGTCCGGCTGGATCGGACAAGACCGGATGAAAAATCTAACCGGTCCGGCCAAAATCGAATTTTTACCGATCCATAAAATTACAAAATTATATTTGTATTTCAAATTTTTTTCTTACAAAACTAATCTTTATTTGTTTTTTTGTTGAAATATCATGTTAGGAATTGTTATACGTATATGTTTTAGTTGAAAAAGAGCATGTGACAAAAATATTCGTATAAATTCATAATTTTGTCCGAGTTTTGCAAGTTTGACGTCAAAAGCAGTCTGACCGGACCGGACAGATTTTCAAACTGACCGGATCGGACTGGATGGAAAAAAATCCGTCCGATTCCAACTCTGATACAGCTTCTTATTTATTACTCTATCCATAAAATAAAGTTTGGTTAAGTCGTACAGTATTATTGTTATGAACATCGGTATTACAAAGTCAGAGCTAGTTTCATTTGTCACAAGACTATATATTCTCAAGATTTATCTATAAAAGTCTTTTTCTCGGCATATATTTATATTCGTCTGTTTTTCTATTGTTGTCATCGAAAAAAATATATAAAAGTATAACTCTATCTTTGAAAACTTACTTGGCTAGTTTTATCAATTTTTATTCTATATAAACCATTTGGTAATGGATGTATAACAATAAGTACATCACCAAAAGCACTAGCTATAATTGATTTTTCATATTCATGATAATGTTCAGTCCATATAATTTGTACTTCATCATTTCCAATATGACGTGTTTTTTTTCTTAAACGATCTTCATCTGTTGATCCATCAATCATTGTTGCAACATGATACATTATTTCCACAAGTGCATCAGCATAATAAATTGAATATGTATTAGCTAATGGATGTAAACCACCACGAAAGCCAGTATGTTTAGATAATTCAACTTGCCAACCAAGATGTGTAAGAAATTCTTCATAATTTGTGCTACCATGAGTATTATTAAATATACTTGTTTTATCTTCTTGTCCATAACCAATATAAATAACCGCTATAAAAAAAAGAGTACAGATTAAAAAATACAACAAAATTCTATTTTACCAATTTTATGTGTTTCACGACAGTCAAGTGTATCTAAATTTTTTAATTCACGTAATAATTGATCACAATTTGTTTTTGATGTATTTAATAAATCAATATTTTGTCGATTTTCAAACATCATTAAACCAAGTTGAGTTATATGTGACCGACATAAAGCAAATCGATCATTACGAGGTAAAGGTATTGGATTTTCAATACGTCGTTCCGTTTTTCCAGATAACGATAAATCTATATCATAAATAATGAATACATAAAAAACAAAAACTAATCCTATTTTTACCATATTCTTTTTCAGCTGTTTCTTGTTCGGTAATCATTCTTATAATAGCTTTTTCATCATGAGAAGATATTAATGTTGGTGTTGGAGAAACATCAGTCAATGTTCGATCACTGTAAAATGCTAATTCTGGACTATGAGATGTTATATATTGAAGAAGCTAGAAAAAAAAGAGAATCAATATATTAATATTTAACATAAACTCAATATTACTTTATCTAAAATATCTGCATTTGGTGGTTGATTTTGATGTGTCGGTGGTTGATCAGTATCAAATTTCTCCAAAACTGTAATACCTCTTGTTGTTTCTTCAACTTCATATGTTGATTTCGTTGGTAGAGTTAATTCTAAAATAAAAATTATATTTAAACAAAAAAAGAAAGAGAGAAATATTCTAACCAATCGTATTATTAAATGAACGTGTAATAGCTTTAGAATTCGAACTAATATTAAACGCATAATTATCCCAACAATATCTTCCACAGAGATCTCGAATAATTGTTCGACATAAAGTTGTTCGAGATATAAATTGTTGATTATCTGTTGTTAATTCATTTATTTTATCATTTGGTATTTCAATAAATGAGATAAGAAAATCATCATGTATGACAAATAATTGTATATTAGATGAATTTATAATTAATTCATCGGATTGATTTAAATTTTGATTATCATCAGATGAAATAGTTTGTTGTTTGGATGAATTTAACCAATCATGTCCTTCATGTACATTTGTTGTTATAAGTGATGATTCATTTTCCGTTAAAGGAAAATGTGAATGTTCATTAAGTAAAAATAAAATAGCAAATTTACAACATAATTTTATTGATTGACTTAATGTTAATTCATTATCTTGAACTGTTTGTTCATCATTTAAAGAATTTGTTGAACGATAAGCATCGATTAAAACAGAAAATGTTCGTTGAATTATTGTCGATGATATATCTTGATTATTATCATCACGTATTGTTTGTTGTTGTTGTAAATAACTTGTTGGAACATGTAAAATCCATTCGAGTAATGCAAATATTAAAGATTTGATTATACGAACATTATTACGCATTAATGCACCAACATCACGTGGAATATTTGCGCGTAAAGATAATATAAGACCATCAATTATTTTTGTATATACTTGACCGGATTGATTATCTCGATGAGATATAAATAATGGAGCATATGATGCAAGAAAACGAAGCATATCAGCTGCAAACATTGTAGAATCAGCCGGCTAATAAACAAAAAAAAGTAAATATTTATTATCAATAAGAGAAAATATCGATAGAATATAAATTCAATGAAAAGGGAATTTAGAAACATATACCATAAGCTAAGGATAATTGTGTTTAATACATTGGTAGTGAAGAAAGGATATATACAGTTTGTGTTGGACAATTCATCTAAGCTAATAGAATAATACGTGTGAAATAGTGATCGTGTTTTTTTGACTATTTTAAGAAAAAAAATTGATTGCAGTTTTCTTTCTTTACTTAGAAAAAATATTTTTTAAGAACTCTGCTTACGAACTATATCAAAATGATAAGATAGAGAAAAAAAGTTTGTGAATTTATTGTAAGCATTTATATTAATCTTTTTGTTTTGCAGATTAAATCCCAATTAGATATTTATTAACTTAATTAGCAGCAACACAGCAAGCATCATTACCTGTTGATTTTTCTCTAAAAATGTTCGCTGATTAGCTTGTCCCTTTTAAGAGGAAAATTAAGATAAATATTCTTCTCTTCTCATTATCATTGAACATATTATTTTTTTTTCGTTTTATCGAAAATAAAACTAACCTGTAAACAATCGACAATAAATGTCATAAATGGTTTAATAGGTGATTCAACTCGTTGATGTTTTAATTCTTCACAAAGGAATATAGCCACACCACATAAAGCAATTTCTCTATAAAAAAAAGAAATTGAAAATAAATATAATTATTAAAAAATATATATATTTACCGTGATTCAAGTACTGAATCATTTTGTGATGCTTTAATTAAATCACTCATAATCATACGTTTTAATTGTGTACGATCCATTGTTACAGGTACATATTCTTTATCTTTCGCAGATAAAACATCAAGTTGTTCAAAATGATTTGGAAAACAAACAAGACTACTAAGTATAGTTAATGCTTCTACTTTTGGAATCTATTGTAATAACAAAATATGAAAAAAAAATAGAATTATGAAAGATAAAACATACGGTTTTCCCATCAACAAGACATGGTTGTTGACCAATTTTATAACAAGCTGAAGTAAATAATGGTAAAAGTAATGTTGATGATGGCCAACATCGATGAAAGAAATCGACTTTACATGAACTAATAATTACATAAATAATATCCTACAACAAACAAAACAAATAAATTCTTCTGATTTTAAGTTTTTTTTTATTTTCTACTTCATCTCCAGATAATAAACCATGATAAATCGTTAATAAAAACATATCAAGAAAATCTGATGGTGGTGAAACATCATGATTCAAAACACCCATCGAACATAATAATCTATATGCTGATAATTTTCCATCACGATGTGTTGTTGGTAATGTTTGTATCGCCTAGCATATATTATTAAACAATAGAAGATATACAAAAAAATTCATTTTTTTAACAAACCTCGAAAAGCCATGGAGCAAATATTAACAATGGTGGACCATCAAAGTATAAATCTCCATGTTGAGTATCTTTTGATTGTACATGAATCTAATTTAATATAAAAAAATTAATTTTTATTAGAAATTATTTCGATTAATCTTACACGACAAAGCATTTTCCATATATCAAATAAAGTTCTCATTATTCGATTATGTTGTTCTGCTGAACGTATTTGATTTATATTTCCGAGTGAACCAAGCATACGAAACCATGCTGTATATGCTGTTTCAGGTGCAAGACGTGATGATTCATAAGTATGTTCATGCATATAAGTAGCAGTATCAATACTATCAATTGTTGCTGAATCTTGTGGAACTAAATTTTTAAGAAAAACATAATTAAAAGAACAAATTTTTATTATTCTATTATACATGAATGAAGACTATCGACAGTTGATTGACTGAGTGGATGATGATCACGTGATAATGGTGGAGATATATGTTGATGATGATCAGATGTTGAAGTTGATTCAGAAACAGTTGTTGAACGAGAATCAATTGCATGAATATTATTATCTAATTATAGAATAAAAATTAATCATTTTGAAATATTCAATATCGTAAAACAAATTTCATAAAAAGAAGATTTACTTTTAAAATTGGATGTTAATGCATCTCCACTAGGTATTCCACTTAGACTATGTGTATCAAGTACACTAGTTGAAGCTGTACTATAATCATCACTCATTGGTGAATCAAGTGCATGATTGGGTGATGACATATCACTCATATGAGAATTCGCTAATAAAAACGAAACGGTATATATTTATTTTATAAATATGAATATAATACGTGTTTGTTGTGCAATATGAATCGTTAATGGTTGATGTTGTTGCTGCTGCTGAGTTAATGGTTCACTTGGACTGAATAAAACTGAATGTTGTTCTGATGTATGACTTTCCATTGTTGCTTGTTGTTCACCTATTTGATTACTTGGAATACTTGCTAAAATATGTGGCTATTAAAAAATAAAAAATTAATATATGATTTCGTTATTTCGTTTTTATTATTACTCGATTAATTATTGATGATGATGATGTTGTTGCTGTTGAATGTGTGAGACTATCATCACTATTTGTCCGTCGTCGTGGTACTCGATCACGTTCATTAATTGTTGTTCGATTTAATTGATGTTGTTGTTGCTGTTGTGGTGTTGATTGTTCTGCTGGATCTATATCATCGTCAGAACTTAATGTTCGTGTACGTTGTGTATTTGATGAATTTAAATCAAGAGAACTAGGTGGAACAGATGTTGCTGTTCGTCGAACACCAATATTTCCTACGCCTCGGCGAATACTTGTCGTTGCTATTGGTTCTGTTTCAACTTTATAAACAAGACGTCCAAGATCTTTTGTTAATGCTCGCATTGATGCCTATTATATAAAATCGAATTTTTTTCAAAGCAAAAATAACTTCGAAATTAATACTTACATCCCATTGATCAATAACTTCAGGCCACATAGTTCTTGACGATAAAGTATCACTTAAATGATTCCATAGTTCAACACTAACATACAATGATGCTGATTGAAATAGAAAAAGAAGAGTCTAAAATAAAAATTCATATATAAATGAAGTAAATATTCTTATTTCTATTATACTTTTATTGTATTTTCAATATACAAATGATTTGAATTTGGTGGTGGTCGATCTTGTAATGAAAGTCGAACAATTTTTAACATAACTCTTAAAATTAAATCCCTATTAAATACATAATGAAATATTTCATTATCTAAATAAATAATATAAATTATTTTACCATGTTGTTCGATCAGGTGTATGTCTTTGTGGTAATTTCTTATAAAATGTTACAAGACCAGCAAGTGATCTTTCCCGTGTACCTTGTTCTGGTTGTACTGCATTTACTCCATGTTGTGGTGTTTGTTGTTCATCATTCTGTGATGTTGGTCGTACAAGAAATAAATAAAATGATTGAGTAATAAAAATTTGTAACCAACGATTAAGACCTAAACGAAGATGATTATCATCGAGTTTATCATTAGATGATGAACGTTGTTCAGGCTCAAGCATAAAAACAGGTCGTAAATTTCTTTCCTGAAAGTAAAAAATTTGAAAAAATATATTAGTTTTTCATTTGATTATTAATACGAACTTTAATCCAATCATTCACCGTACGAAGAATATGCGAAGCAGCAAAACCATATTCACCGGACATAAGATAACTCTATAGAAGAAGAAGATAAAATAGAAACATGTAAGATTTATTCATTTCAAATACTTGTCGAAAGATTTCATGAATAAAATTAATATTCTCTTGTGTTGATAGAAGAACATTTTGACCAATTTCCAATGTATTACTATCCAATGGTCCCATAGAATTTACTATTTGTTGAAATGATGCTGTTTGATTTTTTGATATTGATCCAGTGATTATATGATATAATTCATTTGAAAATAATGAATAATCAGATAAACCAGTTACTGTACCCATGGATGTTGTTGATTGAGTTAATGCAATTTGAGTAGCTAGATTAGGATTAGGTACACGAGTTCTATACAAAAAGTTCATGTAAATAAGTCAAAAGAAGGATATTGAAATCTTACAATGTTCTATCACGATTTTGTTCTTCATTGAGAAATGGTAATAACCATGTAACAAATGCTGTTCGACATAAACATGTTTGTCGTCTTCGTGGTCGATCACTTTCAATTCGTACTGTTTCGGGAATAGTTACTAAAAATAATATTTGTTAGATTCATAAAGTAAAAAAGTTGTAGATTTTACTTGGTGCTGATAAATCATAAATATTTTGTTCGGTAAATGTTGGGAAAAGTGTTGGCATATAATAACGTTTGAACATATCAAATAAAAAACGAAAACATTCTTCTTGTTTTTCTATACGTGATGATTCACGATTTGAATCCCATAAAACACGTTTACATGTGTCCGATATTGTATGTAACATAAAAAGAAGCCAACGTTCAAGAGTTGGTTCATAATCAGACGTATTTTTTGGCCAAATTGGAATTATATCAGCCCATCGAAATGCATCTAAAAGATTTTTCTTTCGATTTTTTTTTGCTAATTAAATTAAATTTTATAACGAACCAGGTGGTGTTCGAAATAATTCATTGAATGCTGCAGATGGTTGTTCATCAGTATGATTATTTTCTCCACTAGCACGTGTACCAACTAATGTTTGATTCCAATTACGTATAAGACCTTTAAAAAGTGAATGCTCTTCTTCAACAGCATTACTACCCAATATTTGATACCAGAGAAGAAAAAGTCGCATACCACGGGCAACACCCTTTTATAATTTAATATTTCTTTTCATTAGAAATAAAATGAAAAATTTCTACCTGTGGACTGTTGCAAACAACAAAATATCTTTTTATTACATTGCATATACAATGAGCCTGCCATCTTTGATGTACAAGTGTAGGTAATAATGTAAGAATACGCTAAAAAACATATAGACAATAAAAATAATGGACGTCATAGAAGGTCATGACATTAACGATGATATTTGTATTGGAGAGATCTCGAAAAAGTTCATTAAATTCTTATCAACAACAATTTTCTTTTACTGCACATATCGATAAAAATTAGTTATCATTGATATCGATATCAAATCTCTTCACACATATGATAATCAGAAAAAAAAATAACAGTAATACATATTCGTTTCATTGCTTCCCAAGGGAAATCTTTTCTTTATATGATTAATCAATATAAATGTTGTATTACCTCTAATAAATTGGTAACATATTCAAGTTCTGATTGATTTTGTTTTGAAACTAAAAATTCAAAAACAGATTTTTTTTGTTTTGTTCTTTTCGTTTATTTCTTTCCAATAACATACGTGCTCGTGTTATATTACTTTCAACTTGACTAAAATTTTCAAAGAAAAGATAAAAAATATGTTGATACGAATTTTTAAAAAATGTTTGTAAATCATCAACTGATAATTGATCTAGATGAAAAGAACGAAAAATCAGATAATGTTTTTGTTTTTCGGAATAAAAAAAAGTAGTTTTTTTCTTTGATTCGTACCAATTAATTGTTTTAAATATCGTTGTCGATCGGATAAATTTTTTGTTACGTCAATAATTTTTTCTTTTGTTCTTTGAATTGTTTCATCGGCCTTGTTCGGCTTCGTTCGGCCGAACAATTGTGACATTCAAGATGATTTTTTTAAACAATAGACAATATATTCATTACATTTAATACAACAAGAAAAACTAAGCAGATTATTATCTATAATAAATATGATAACCGACCTCTTCGTTCTTCAAAATCTGAAGAATAAGCAAAGAAAAATGATTTCAATTATTCTATTGGTTGAATTCTTCTCAAATAAATTTAATTCAAACAAAAGATGTCACTAGGTTAATCTTAATATTTATTTAAAAATTTTATCTAAAATTATTTTTCTTATTTATCATTAAAAACAAAATATTTTAATAAAAATTTTTTATTTACTTTATATAATTGGTTAAAAAATATCTTTGTTGTTGACCTGTGAACGTATTAATTCGGAGGACAATTAAACAAAGATGGCGATTGATTATTCTCCGACTACACATGCCCTCTTTTGTCTCGAGATAAATTATGCCTTCATCTGAAACAGCGTGTACATTGATCGGGGCAAGTCTAATAGCTTTACTTCTAGCTGGTTATCTTGGTCAACATTTATTACCAGCACCGAAACCAAAAATAATCGGTTTAGATTTAGGCACAACTTATTCATGTGTTGGAATTTATCATGCTATTAGTGGTTTAGTAGAAATCATTCCTGCTCAACGTAATCGTTCGTGTTTACCATCGATTGTATCATTTTTATCAAATGGAACTATATTATTAGGTTATGATGCATTTGATTATCTTGAAATAAATCCAAAATATACAATTTATGATGCTAAACGTTTTATTGGAAAAGAATTTTCATCTGAATCAATTGAAAAAATTCAAAAAGATTATCCATTTGAATTATTACGTAAAGATAATGGTTTAGTTGAATTTATTATATCAGAAAATGGTACAAGTATAAGACCTGAACAAATTGGTTCATTATTATTAAAACATTTAAAAGAATTAGTTGAAAAATATTTAAATGTTCCAAAAATAAAATTATGTGTTTTAAGTGTACCTGCTGAATTCGATGATAAACAACGACAATCAACAAAACAAGCTGCAGAATTAATTCAATTGAAGGTGGAAAGAATTATATCAGAACCAACAGCAGCTGCATTAGCATATGGTTTTCATAAAATGGAAAATGTTCGTTATGTTTTAGTTATTGATATAGGTGGTGGAACAACAGATGTTAGTTTATTATCTGTACAAAATGGAATGTTTTCTACTCAAGCTATGGCAGGAAATAATCGTTTAGGTGGACAAGATTTTAATCAAAATTTATTAAATTATATTTTAACATTAATTGATAATAAAACAGAACGAGTTAATCCAATTTTATTACAACATTTACGAATTGAAATTGAAAAATGTAAAATTGATTTATCAACAGTAGATCAATGTGTAATTGATTCAAAATGGATTATAACAAGAGAAAAATTTGAAGAAATTAATCATGATTTATTTAAAAAAATTCTTGAACCATTAGATAGAATATTTGCTTATATTAATTCCGATATTAATGATAATGATGATGATATTAGTAATCGATTAACAGTAAATAATATTGATGAAATTGTTTTAGTTGGTGGATCAACACGAATGTTAAAAATTCGACAAATTATTGAAGATTATTTCGGGAAAAAACCTAATATTCAAATTGATCCTGATGTTGCTGTTACACATGGTGTATCAATTCAAGCAGGAATTTTAGGTGGAGTATGGCCGTTAAATGTTAGTGCAACAGAAGTACGAACAGCAGTAGAAAAAATTCATATCGAAACATAATAGGCAATTTTGTTTTGTGAATGATAATCAGAATTTTTATTTTATACAAGAAGTTTAATTTGATAGATGGTTTTATTCCAATCTTGAATCGTATGTTTCCGGTGGTATTTATTATATCTTTGTTTTTTTTGTCTAATTATTGTTTTTCTTCTATTTTTCTAATTGTTATCTTTTGGTTACTGCTTAAATATTCCAGTAACGAATTCTGTTATGATCTGTTATTTAAGAACGATTTGATTCTTTTAGATAATAATCATTATTTTTTCTTCTATCACATTCGGTGTTTTTATTGACCGCGAAAAGCTCATGCTGATCGCGTGTCATTTATCATCATGAGTAAAAAGTTAACAACATCATCTCCATTGAAACGACCGTCTACTCGTTCATTATCAGTAACCAAATCTCTACAACCACCTCAACAATCCGATAAATATACATTTCAATCAGACGACGAAGAGCATAATACAAAACCGGTGTTTATACGTAAAAATTTAACACCAATATCTACTAAACGTTCCCGTGGTCGACCAGCTAAAACTCCTAAACTTGAAGAAATTTCCAAACGTACATCAATATCTTCATCAAATATTGAAAGTGATAGTGGTACAGAAGAAAGTTCAATAATCAAAAGAAAACGTTCAGGTAAACGTTCTTACGAAAAACCAGTTACACGTCGAGCATCCCGTCTAGTTTCTCAAACCAATACACCTATAGGTGATAAAAATTTTACACCTAAAAAACGCGGACGTAAACCAAAAATGTTAAATACAACTGATAATGATAATGAACAAGATAAAACGAAACAACAAATTGAAACAGAAAATATTGTTCCACCTCAATCTATAAAACGTCGTTATAGTAAGAAGAAAACATTATCAACTGATACAAATCCTAAAACTGATCTTACTGATTATGATGATAATAATTTAAAACTTTCATCTGTTGATGAAAAAGATCTTATGCAATTTGGTTCACCACAACATCAAATTCAACCTCAACCTCAACAACAGCAGCCACAACAACAACAACCACAACAAAATCAATCAGATGATGATTTTAGTGATGATTCAGTTGAATTTGTTTGGAAAGGTTCAAGTAAAATGTCTATTGAAATACTTAAACGTCGTATACCAAAAGATGAACCAAGAGATTATTCATCACTTCAATCCGATCCAACAGCTCAACGTAAACGAGCTATTATTCCACGTTTAACTAATTTTGATGCATTATCTGGTCAACCAATTGATAATTCATCATTAACAACAAAACGTCCAATAAATGAAAATTCAGAACAAAATTTACAGAAAAAATCTAGTTCTGTTATAACATTAAAGAATGTATTTCAAAATGATTTTGTTCCAACATATAATGATTCAGGTCCAAAAATGACAACAACTGCAACAACGGATGATAAACCTCGTCCACGAATCTATGCTGTTAAAAGTACAACAATGAAATCACGACCACCACAACAACAACAACAGCAGCAGCAGCATCAACAACAACAACAACAACCAGGACAGCCCGAAATTAAACGACCAAAATGGATGAGTGATCAACAAGGTAAATCAGAAGATGAAGAGGATGAAGATAATTTACCACCAGCTGGTGAAGAACCAGATGATTTTGATTATGTTCCTAAAGGTCAATACATACCCAAACGTCCAACTTATCGTGGACGTGGAACATATCCTGCACGACGTGGTACAGGTATGCGTGGACGACCACCTGGTTCACGACGACAATGGCATGATGATGACGATGATGATGATTACGATCAATATGAAGAAATGAATTCAAGATATGGACCACGAAAACAAACAGCATATCGATCATCACGTAAAAAACTAATAAAACATACATTTCTCTTTTCTAATAACGAAATTTTCATTATTTTTCTAGGACCAATGCATGATATGGGTGGTGATGATGATGATTATGATAGAACTCCTCGTATGAGTTTAACACAAGCTTATCGTCGAAATAATACTGTTCGTCCACCATTATCATCCATGAGTGGTCAACGTCGTATTGCAATTAATAATGGAAATCATCCAATATATAAAGTAAGAAACTATAATTCATTTCTTTAATGAAAATCTATTAAAAATATTCCTCTTTTTTTCTTCTCATCAATAAGTTAAATTTATATTAATTCTATGATACATATCTACATTGAGATTAAGTGTATTACAGGTTATCGTACATAATTGATTCGATGTTATTTATAACAGAGCACTTGTCCTATTTGATTCTTTCTTCAGTTCATTACTATGTCATTTTATATATATATACGAGTCTTTATCTTCTTTCTATGTATCTGTGACAAAAATATATCTAATCGAAAAAAAA